AGAGAAAAATACCATATGAGATCACTCATATGTGGAATCTAAAAACAAACAAACAAACAAAGCATAAATACAAAACAGAAATAGACTCATAGACATAGAATACAAACTTGTGCTTGCCAAGGGGGCTGGGGGTAGGAAGGGACAGACTGGGATTTTAAAATTGTAGAATAGATAAACAAGATTATACTGTAAAGCACAGGGAAATATACACAAGATCTTATGGTAGCTCACAGAGAAAAAAATGTGACAATGAATATATATATATTCATGTATAACTGAAAAATTGTGCTGTACACTGGAATTTGACACAACATTGTAAAATGATTATAAATCAATAAAAAATGTTAAAAAAAAGTCACCAGTCATTTTGGATTAGGGACACACCCTGCTCCAGTATGACCTCATCTTAGCTAATTATGTCTGCAACGACCCTATTTCCAAATAACGTCACATTCTGAAGCACTAGGGGTTAGGGCTTTGTAGAGGAGGAAAAATAATTTTCCCTTTTCCTTTCTAGGTTCTTGGCTGAGACCGCCCTGTAATAAAAAGACAAATTAACAGGAGAGAAACAAACAAAAGTTTAATAACATGTATACCTCCTATATACATGGGAGATAGACAGATTAACAGGAGAGAAACAAACAGAAGTTTAATAACATGTGTACCTCCTATATACATGGGAGATAGACAGATTAACAGGAGAGAAACAAACAGAAGTTTAATAACATGTGTACCTCCTATATACATGGGCGATACCCAGGAAAACAGTAATCCCCTCAAATGGCTCAAGCCACACCACCTGAAATACCATCTCCAGCTAAAGACAAAAGACAGATGGGAGGTGGGGAGCTAGTTATGGCAGGCTACCAGCAAAAACACAAAGCAAATGAAATGAACAAGGGTATGGCTGTGATGAAGATTTGAGTCCCTGCCTTCTCCATTAATAAGTTTCTAGAAATTTAGTCATTCTCTCTTCTTGGTACAGAGGACACATCCTTACAAATGGATATCTTACTTATGAATGTAAATGTCCCTTACAAAGAGTAACGTCTACTCACTCAGTTTTCAGAGCCTTTCCTGTTTCTGCTGTTTCTTGAAAAATAGTCAGCCTAAAATAATCCTTATGCCAAAAAGGCATATGTTAAGGTGACAAATTCTGTTCCCCTTCAGCTTCCACATATGATTTTGGGGGACAGACACAATTCAACTCATAACAACAGGAAATCTTGGAGATAGAAGAATAAGTTAAATATCACCACAAGGAAATCATCAGACAAGTCCCGCATGTGAGACTTTCTATAAAGTCTTTTCAAAAAGATAATGTCATTAAAAAAAAAAAAGAAGTAGGGGGATGATTCCAAAAAAACTAAAGAAACCAAATGTATGGATTGTGATTGGATCCTGATTTAAAAAAGAATATAGACTGGATATTTTGAGAGTTAAATAATAGTAGGGAGTTCCTATTAATTTTCTTAGGGGTGCTAATGCTATGATAGTTATATATGAGAATGAACTTATATTAAGATATGCAGAGTGAAGTATTTGGGGTGAAGTGTCAGGATGTCTCCAGTTTCCTTTTTTTTAAATTAAAGTATAGTTGATTTACAATGTTTCAGGTGTACAGCAAAGTGATTCAGTTTTATATATATATAGGTTATTACAAGATATTGAATATAGTTCCTTGTACTATACAGTAGGTCCTTGTTGTTTATTTTACATACCATAGTGTATATCTGTTAATCCCAAATCCCTAAATTCCAATTTTAAATAGATCAGCAAAATAAAAAATGTATAGACATACATAAAGCAAATTATATATACATAGTATGTATACAGATAAAGCAAATATACCAAAAGGTTAACATTTGTTGAATTTAAATGTTGGTTATCTAAGGTGTTCACTGTACTATTTGTTCAACCTTCCTGTATGTTTGGAATTTTTCAGAATAAAAGTTGACAGCAAATAAAGAAGAGAAGATTTTTCAAGAGAAGATTCTGCGCACCTCTCTATTGAAAATGGAGCATGAAAAAATAAAATTCAACAGGCTTAAGGTATAAAAGATGAAAATCCAGTTAGTGAAAAAGAGAAATTCACTGTCAGGGTTGTTAAACAGTTGGGCTGCTTTTCAAGTGATTCCTTCCCTCAAAGTATTCATTACTGGGAGTTGGAGGCCACAGCACAAAGCTCTCAATCAAGAATGATTTGAGGGCCCCCAAAAGACCGGCTGACCTCTAAATATCTCCCCTGCTGGCTTCCCATGTGGCCTGAAATCCCTGTAACCTAGGTCAGTTCTTAAGAATCAAGTATTTTCTCACTATTCTGGGGCCCCCTTTTAAAATGCAAAGCTGGGAGGATGCTGGGGTCCATTAAGTGGGAACCATTGTCTGCAGAGCCAGCACCCGCCCATAGGCCCTCAATTCTAATAGCTCCTTTCTCAACCCCTTTCCACCGCTGAGACGGGACAATATGTGCTCTAAGATACTTTTTGGGTGAAGACACCATTTCAAGAAAGCTTACTTTCTGTGAATAAAATGGGGTGCATAAGGTCATTGCTGTTTTTACTTTGTCAACTGGGTGGCCTCTGAAAGCTTCTTAGAACACTTCAAAGGAAGCCTCCTCGACTCTTCCAGCCCTCCACCCCTTCCCTTTGTAACCGAATTCTTCCTGACCCCAAAGCTTTTCCCTGAATGAAGAGTTTCCAAGGGGTCTAAAAAAAAATACCTGAGACAATTAGAGAAATGAAAACCCGGGGGGTCAAGATGAATTGACCCTTGGTGGAGGATTTACATAAATAGGTCCTAACCTCTGGCTGTGAATAAAAGATAAATGCCCCATTAGGGTCAGAACCACAGTTCAAGGGCGTTCGCCAGGCCAGGCCTGGCTTCTCTGCTATGTCAGGAATTTCAGGAATGCCACTGATCATTGTGTGTTGGCAGAGCCCGGGGGTGTTGCAGGCAGGCTAACAGAAACCCAGCCCTGCCCACCGGGTGAAACTGCAGCTCTCCCACGCAGCAGATCTGCGAATCGAGAGCGTGGGAAACCCGTCAGTTGAGAGAGGACCCAGAAGTAATGCCCTCGAAAATGGGAAGGAAGCTTTCTCCCGAACGGTGACCAAATTCAGATTTTGGATGGTGGTCTTAACCTGCAAGATTAGAGGGGAGAAAGGGCATGTCCCCGGAGAAGAGCCATTTGCTCCCCTTACCTGCAGATCAGGTGAGCCGGCACTAGCCTCCTGCAGCCTGAAGGCCTCCGCCCCGTTTCCTTCTGCTGCTACTCAAGAACAAAATCTTACAAGGGTGTTGCAAAGGAATTTTCAGAAAAAAAAAGTAAAATAGAGCCCCTCGTACAGACATCAAAATGTACATGTGTTAAAGATTTTATTTTACCCCTAATAACTGAGGGAACCAGCATGTGTTACAACTGATTTAGAAAAGGAGCAGCCCAGATTTATAGGGAATAAAGAATGTTGAAATGAATTGCAAATGGAAAAAAGAAGAAATGAATTGCAAATGGAGGCAGACCTTTTTTTCCCACCCCCACCCAGGGGTGAAGGAAGTCAATTGAACCAGACAGGACAGAATTTTACATGTCTGTCCCTTCCCTACAACGGAGTTCTAAAATAGCTCCTATAGGAAGCAAGTGCTTTAGGCAATAAAGAGTTTTCCATTGAAGTATGACTTTTTCTCTGTAGGGGCAAGAAATTTTGCTTTCTACGTATTATCTTAGAGAAATGTCCTTTCTATCTGCTTACCTCTCACCCCTGCCCAGTCTCCCGGCCACTCCCCCCACCCCACTCCCACCACACACGAAAAGGTATACATACTTTTTAAACCAAAGAGTGAAGTGTGCTTGAGAAGCGTGGCCAAAGTTGATTCCCACCTTCCACAATTTTCTACCTTACTTTATTTCTCTGTCACATAAAAATGCATCGAATCCTGTTTGGGTTGTTCCTTGGCAGGATGAGGATGACGAAGATGCCGCCTTGCCGATCTCATCTTGTTCTCTGTTGCCCCTCTTGCTCTAAAGAGAAAACACTGGGAGGATGGGAACTTGGGACAGAGAATCTGCTTATCCCGCAGCTGTTTTGGCCAGCAAATGCCTCAATTCTGATGGCCATTCTGGGTTTATTTTACTGAGAGTCTCCAAAGTGACCCATTGCATCATGGAAACAAAGAGCAGGGATATCCTGGATTTTACTGCTTAGAAAGTATTTCCCCCATGTTGCATCTGTCGGCTGAAATAAACGCACAGCCTAAAAGTTGAGAGTTATGTTTTATTTGGCGGACATTTCTGAGGATTCAAACCCCCTTTGAGCCCGAGATGACAGCCTCTCAGATCGGTCTGAGGTACTTCTCCAAAGAGGTAGGGGAGAAACTAGGATGTATAGGAGTTTTACAACAAAGACCTGGTAGTTGGAACATTAACTAAAGAAAACCAGGCATCTGAAGTTAAAGAATTTAGTGCTTTTCTATGTATGGGAAGAAGCAAACATTTGGGCTCATTGAATTCATTCCTTTGACAAGCACCTAGCTATCTAGGGCCAGTATCTCGTCCTTTCTCATTCTGAGTCCCCTCAGAGTGCACCATTGTGAGTGGCTTCAGAGGCTGGGCTGCAGGCTTGTTGCTGATGACTTTTTGGTTTCAGCATTCTTTGTTTACTGATATGATTTGCAGTTTTTTCGTTCACACATCCAAGAGGTCAGCTCAGCTTTCTAAAAGTTCTGATGCATGAAAAACGGATGTGGTCGTGTCCCAGGTCTCAGTTGAGTCCCTGGGACATGCCCCGCCAAGTGTGGGTCCTTGTCTTCATGCAGGAAAGAATTTAAGAGTGAGCCACAGTTGAGTAAAGGTAGATTTATTTAGAGATACATCAAAAGGCAAGAGAAAGGCCACAAGGTGTGGGAGTTGGGTGCTCAGATTAAAGTAAAAGTAGGTATATAGTCCATAGACAGAGTGCGGGCGATCTCCAAAGAGGGAAGGAGAGGGGGCAGTGGCGGCCATGAGGCGCCTCCTGTTGCCAGTTTTTATGGGCTCGGTAGCTTCATATGCTAATAAGTCGAAGGAGCAGTCTAACTAGACTGGGGAAGGGGCTGGGATTCCCAGGAAGTTGGCCATTTCCCATTCTTTGACCCTTCGGGCTAGCCTCGGGACTGTCATGGCGCCTGTGGGCTTGTTATTCACCATGCTAGTGTATTACAATAGGCACATAATAAAGCTCAAGGTCTGCTAGAAGTCAAATCTCCCACCATCTTGAGCCTCAGTGCCTACTGGGGGTTGAATCTTCTGCCATCCTGGTGTGATTGCTGTGTTATTCCTTGAATGGCAGTGCCCTGCTACCTTCCTGTCTCAGTTCTAACTCTGACCTGGTAGCTAAAGTAACAGATGGAAATGTGGGCTCTTTAGATGGAGCTCTTTCTCCTAAACCTGCATGGAAGTGAAGAGGTAGAGATTCAAAACAAAGCCATGTTGGAGCATTACTTCTCATTCGTGGATTTAATGTCTTATTTTTATATTGTTGCATAAGAAATCAACTCTTAAAAATCATGTGTTTTCGAATTGGGGAAATCTTGTTCGAGGCTCATTTATTTAAAGACAAATCACTGAAAACACCAAACCCACTGGCCCAGGCTTTGACCACCCCCTCTCCCTATTTTCCTCTGGAGCAGTGATGGTGGAGCCACTGCATGAATTTCACTCTATTATTGAATGAAGAAAGCCGAGGCTGGTGATACTGAGAAAGCGTGAGAGAGAAAAAAAGATATCACAGTGACAGCACACTCCTGCAGCGGTCCATCTGAAAGCAAGTAAGTGACCTACTTACTGTTCTGTAAAGCACAAGGCAGATTCTCACACGGAAAAATTGCCCTCAGAAGTGCCTGTGAGACCCTAGTATGAAAAGAAATGTGTGCAGGGCTCTCTTCATAATGGCATGCAGGTATGTGTGTGGGTTAGCAGACATTCCTTTCTGACTCATTACCCATTTTGCCCCTGTGCTCCACCCCCACTCCTTAGTGCTTGAGGCAGTTTTTTCTGGCTTCCCCTGGTCTGGGACCAATATTGATGGTATCTTGGAGCTCTCAAAAGAGAAGCTGTGCTCCTTTGCACTTTTTTTTCTTTTGGTGACTAGTCATTTAGACTTGCTGCCAAGCTCTGTCCAATAAGCATGGCACAGCTGCCTCTCAGCTGAGAGCTCTTACCTGTCACAGTTTCTGGTACTTGTAGACTCTTCTGGCAGTCTGTCAGTTAATACAGATTTACCAACTAGACAGTGAAACAGACTTTTACGCTACCCTTTTATGCTCAGTAGCTGGGACCTGCAAATTAAGTTGACAAAAATAGAGTCCCAGGAGAAACTGATGTTAATATTTCTTACATTCATGGGGGCTTCCCAGAAAAGAAGTGAAATCCCAAAGAAGTTATTACGCTTGAGTACTTATATACCATTTTAACAAAGGGTGATAAATTGTGGAGAATAACTAGATAAAGGAAAGGAGGTTTGGGCTTTTAGGGGCAATAAATTATGGGATGGTGACTAGGGAATATATGGAGGAAATTAATGATAGACAAAGGCTATTTAATAAGTTTGTTTATTCAGACTCATCTTGGTGCCTTCTCTATCTCAGAGATAAGTGTTGTTCTCTCCCTGGTATGGGAGAAGGGGACAGCTTCACAAGGGAAATTCATGCTCTGCTTTTAGGCAAAGAGCTCCTCTTGTGTTTGCTTTTTCTCAATTGCCTTCAGTTCAAAATAATCCTTGTGCCAAAGTGGCATAATTTTGTTGCCAGAGAGTAGGTTCTTGTCCCACACAGGAAAGAATTCAAGAGCAAGCCATAGTAAAGTGAGAGCAAGTTTATTTAGAGAGATACACATTCCACAGGCAGAATGCAGTGCCTCTCAGACGGGAAAGTGGCCCCGAAGTGTGGGGGTCGTTTGTTTTTATGCTTTTATGGTCTGGGTAATTTCATCTGCTAACAAGTGGGAGGATTAATTCAACCATTTTGGGGGAGGGGTGAGGATTTCCAGGAATTGGCCCCCTCCTCCAATTTTTGGCCTTTTATGGTCAGCCCATGAACTGTCATGGCACCTGTGGGTGTGTCATTTAGCATGCTAATGTATTACAGTGAGCCTCTAATGAGGCTCAAGGTGTATTGGAAGTCGAATCTTCTGCCTTCTTGGGCCAAGTTGGTTCTAACCAGTTTATGTCCTATCCTCAACTGCTGGGTCATTCCTTTAATGGTTGTGCCATGCCTCCTTCCCTCCTATTTCAATTTGGGGTGTCATATTATGATCCCCTTTGGTGAGAAGGCATCAAAATGCTTTTCAGGGGTTTAAAATACTTGTACCACTAGAATAAGGAAGTGAACTTCTGGCATAGCTTAGAGATCCAGAAGCCGTAGTAGATGAACCCAACTCCATCCTTCTGAGTAGAGGACTTAGAGGTATAGGGGAGCCAAAAGCAGGGATGGGAGCTGAGGAGGAGTTGCAAGAGGGCCTGAGAAAGAGAGTCCTTGGTCAAGAGTTGCCTATGGGCCACAGCTGCCCCTGTTGCCCCAAAGCTACATCTTGAAGTGGGGTGAAGAAAGAGTCAAAGTTTAGAATCTTACATCCTGAAAAGAGACTGAGGGAGAGAAGAAGAGGGAGAAAGGAGTAATATGATATGAACCTACCCCTGTGCCTCAAGTTCCTGGGAGTTTCTCACTGGTTCTTGTGCCCTGTTGCCCTCTACCCTCTGCAAAAGAAAAATGAAATTGATTGCCTCACAGGCATAGATATAATCACTGATGAAGGGGATCAGAATATGCTACCCTAAAATATGCCACTTTGACATAAAGATAATTTTGAGTTGAAGGCAATTGAGAAGCAGCAGATACAGGAAGAACTCCCCCTTTCTGCCTACAAGCAGGGCATAAATTTCCCTTGGTAACAGTGACATCAACTTCCATTTGTAAAGATGTCCTCTTCTCCCATACCTGGAAGAGGACAAGACTCTTATCAGAGGAAACAACTTGAGTCTGCATAAAAGAGCTTACTGAACAACCCACCATACATTTCTCAGAAACCATCCCATAATTTACTTCCCCTAGGAGCCCAAACCCCTTTTCCTTTGTCTAGTCAAACTCCACATTTATTGCCCTTTGTTAAAAGAACTCACTGCCTTTGGTTTTCACTTGCTTTGTGTGAAGCCCCTGTGCACATCAAAATATTAACATCAATAAAGAAACTTCTGCATTTTCTCCTGTTAGTCTTTTTGTCAGTTTAATTCACAGGCCTCAGGAACTGAACCTAAGAGAGTAGAGGAAATTTTTTTTCAGCTATACCATTGTTAGTATTGCCTTGCTTGACTCTGTTTGATTGTTCAGGAAATGAGTTATTCGATTTAACCCCCCCCATTTCTATTAAACACGTGGTTTAACATTGTGCTGGCTGAGCAGCAATTAAGAGATCTCCATAGAGGCTCCTCTAATGTGTTGCTTATTCTGAAAGACAGCAAGTAAGACTCTCATGACCATGTGTTTAAAGTGTGCTGCCCTGAGGGCTGCTGCTTTGTACCTTTGCAGTGTTGCCTTCTTGAGTCCCAGCAGTCCAGGAAAGTTCCCTGGATTCAGACTTTCCCATTATTCTGGAAAATTCATTTTTCCTTTCTTCCACATGGGCCTGCTTAGACAGAGTGACTTTCAACCACTGACTATAAAGTCATGGTCAATTAGAGAAAATGAGTTCTCCATTCCATGCCTTCAGGGCTAGTAACAGAGACCCAGGGACTCCTGAGGTGTCAGAGGGAGGCACCAGGCTAGTCTCCCAGTGAAACCAAGCAGAGAAAAGCAAAGAGAGGAATCATCAGGGGGCCCATAATTATTGTTTGAATTTTATGTTTATGGTTTAATTCTATAAATCAAAAAAGGGAAATTCACACTGGTTCTGTGTAGCATGTGATAAACCGCAGCATTGCTACCAACAACTTTTTTCTCTCTTTACAAGCTTTGCCTCTTAGCAAAAGCGCGTATTTCGAGTTTTGCAATACCTGACACACAAGTTGTGAAGAAGAGTTTTTCACAGGCCAAAGAGATATAAGGAAAGCAGCAAAGCCTTATATCTGGGACATTTCTGAGGGGTGTATGTTCCTCAGGGTATCCAGTTATTCTATGACTAACTTCATTTTCTATGGTTTTTCTGAAGAAGACATTTGTGAAAATATCCAATTATGATTACCGACTACTTCCTGTGAATGATCTGTGATGTCTACACTGATTTCCCCTGAACATTCATACAGTCAGGATGTTTGAAAGCTTGGGCCTCTTCTCCTCTGACATAAATCATTTTCTGTGAAACCTTTCCATGTTAACTCGCAGTACCTGATTCTCAAACGTGATATACATTTAATGTATTCTCTTTCCCCAGAAAATGTCTTTGATGCTAACTGTTTTGCTGTTGGTCTCAAAGTATTCATTCTCTTCTCCTAACCATGGGCCCCAAATCCCACACAATGAGGGTGAACCACAGAGCAGCAGAGAGAAAAGCACATTGCTTTTCTTCCGTGAAGACTTGCCATCAAATTCCACCTCTGTGTTCTGTGGATACTATTTCACGTTGAGGAAATAGTAGCATTCGTGATTTGGTCTTCTGGATTTAATTTAGAGCTACTTCAGTTGGTGCCTTTTTTTTTTAAACCTCAAAACAGCAAAATGACAAGCCCGTAAATGCCGGCTTTTCTCTTCCTTTGGCCCAAGGGGTACTCGAGGCTCAATGCGCATTCATCATCACCAAAATACTGCCTTGTATATATTTTTGAGAGCCAGAGATGAGTTTGTAATGTTTTATAGGCCTGATTCAGCGCTCTATGTCCTTTTCCTTTTTGGTAGTCGACTTGTTGTATCTGTGACGAAAACACTCACTGTGTGTGCGTATGTAAGTTCAGAACCAGAAACCAACAACAAATAAAGATTCCAATAACTCAGGAGAACCTACCAGATTCTGACCATCTGACAATTTCATCTCGACACCTCCTAGTCTTCAATCATCAGAAAAGGTGATTGAAGCCTTGAGCTCTTGATTTTATCTCAAAGTCCTTTTGCTTTGTGGGTACCTTGGATCTGGAGATAGGGAATCAGGCGATCAGATAAAGCCATGGGGAGGGCTGAAAGTTTGCTGGAATGACGCTCGGGGCAGAGTTTAGGCTGTTGGAGCATTTCCTGTGTGCCCTTTGAAATCTCTGAACTCAGCTCTTCAAAGTGAGAGCTACCTTATTCTGTCTTTCCGCTGAACAAATGTATTTGTTACTTATCATTTTTTTTGGCCACCCCCACCCTAATTGACTTAGCTAACATTGATTTATCAGTGCAAAAGCATTGTGCCGACTGAGTCATAAGTTACACTTTTACCTGACATTATCTGGACCTTTGGAAATGAAAGCATACCAATAATAGACATTTTGTTGCACAGGTCTACACACACACACACATGTGTCTTTCTGTTTGCTTCATTCATCATGTTCTCTATACTCCCACTGTTTTTCTCCCCCGACCCCTGCACTCTCGCTCGTACTAGTTTCTGAGAGAGTTATGTTTTCTCATGAGCCAAAGGGTCATTTTTCAAGTTGAGTCCTATTAACCTCAGTTACAAACCCTTGGTTTTCTGAAGTTCCTCTTTGCAAAACTCTGTTTTGAGGAGAGAAAATTTATTTCTCTTTCAAGAGCCGGTGTGGTAAGAGGAAACCGAACGAAGCTGGTCTCTGGGTGTGTGTTTGTGCTCATTTGCTGTACAATCAAATACGGATATAGGTCAATAAAAGCTGTTCTTTGATCTC